TTTTTTTGAAATCACAACATTTTAAAATACGTATTTATCTGTTTTGAGTTTATTTAATGTTTTAAATGTTTTGTAGTAACTATATTTTCCATTTCATTCATTTCATTTCTTTCATTATTCTTATATATTTCAAATAATTTTGAAAACCTTTTAAACACTAGCAAATCAAATAGTTAATTATAAAAATATAATTATAATTTTAAAATTATTAACCTGAAAAAGCACAATGGAAAATTCATAAAATAGCTATTATCAAAAATATTCCTCTTTTTTTAATATTAAAATTTCTTATTATTTTTTTTTTAATTCTGAGACTATTTTGTCTTTGAAACACTTCCAAAATTGATAAATAAATTATCATTTGAGGAATTGTTTCTTTATCTTTTTCATAAGAAAACTTCTTTTTTCTATCATTATTTTTATATATTTGAAAACCTTCTAACACTAACAAACTAAGTAGTAATTAATAAAATATAATTATGATTTTTAAAATTATCAACCTGTAGAGCACAATAGAAAATTAATAAAATAATTATTATTAACTATATTTCTATTTTTTTAATATTGAAATTTCTTATCATTCCAGTTTCTTTTTAATCATGAGACCATTTTGCTTTCGAAGCATTTTAAAATTTGATAAATAAATGGACACTTACAAAATTGCTTCTTTGTCTTTTAAAAATAAATTCGCTTTTCTTTCATTATTTTTTTTAAATTTCAAATAATTTTAAAGACCTTCTAAACACTAACAAAATAAATAGTTATTAATTAAAATATAATAATGATTTTTAAAATTATTAATTTGAAAATCACAGTGGAGAATTAATGAAATAACTATTATTAACAATATTTCTCTATTTTTAATAATAAAATTTCATATCAGATCAGTTTCTTTCGCAATATGAGACTCTTTTGTCTTTGAAACACTTTAAAATTAGATAAATAAATTAACATTTAAGGAATTGCTTCTTTATCATTTTAATGGAATTTTTTTTAAGGTAATCTGTGATATAAACATAAGAAAAGGGTAAACATCAGCTATTGTGAAAAGTAAATTGTCGAATAAAATAATTGATAAAATAGTAAGATAATCTTAACATAACTCGAAGCAGTTTTGTTCGTGTGGTTTTTTATGATAACGAATTTATCATTTTTTAACGATATCTTTATATTAAAATATACGATACTCCTCTAAAAGAGAAAACAATTGTCTTTATTCCTTTTTTAAAATGTATAAGAATATTATAATTCAGTAAAGTTGACAATAGAATATTTTAAAAACTGATTTCACTTTTTCTACAAATCGTAAGTAATTTTTTTTAATTATAATATTTCATCATCCCCTGCCGTACGCTAACCTATGGGAATCGTTTCTCGATTCCTTCAAAATCTCTTTAGTTTTCTCTGTACGAAACATACACACGCATCTACAACATACACGGTAAATAGTACACATCTTTGCGGCAAATAATTTATTACCCACCTAAATGTATGAAGTTTGATACAAAAAGTATGTATGTAATCCGTCTGTTTCAGTTTTAAAAATTTTTTCAATGAATTTAACTTTAAGAATTAGAGCTCAAAATGGTTGATCTCTGGTAAATGACTTAATTATAGCTGCTAGATAAATCTCTGGTAAAAAAAATACAATGTAACCAGGTAATGCATAACCATTGATTTTTATGATAAAAAATTATTTTCAAATTAAGCATAGATTTGTGTTTTGGTTGTAACAATAGATTGTAAGAAACCTGATAAAGCAATGTATATTTCTAATTAATTTGGATTTTGAGAGAATCAATAATAATAATTAGCAAATTAAATATCAAAATTCTTTAATAATTTTTTTATTTTGTTGTTAATATTATACGTGTAAACTCATTTTCTTGATATTAATCAGAGAACATCATTTTTCAAAAGTATGTATAAACAAACACACACTTAATTCTATTTCTGTTTGAAATTTACAAATACATAATTCAAAATTATGTATTATTTCAGATTTGAACGATTATATATGGATTTGTTGAAGTATATATTACACGTGTTTCGGCACCAACATCGTTTGAATTAAGCTACAGGTTAGAAAGTGTTTCAATTTTCGGGTTTACGTATTCTAATGTTCAACTCCATATCCTTGTAATTTTGAACCCAATCCAGAAGACAAGGGAACTCCTGGATCAAGTATTGGGAGAAATTTGCCTTCGTGGAGGACTTTTTGATGGAACTAACCAGCCCTTGCGTTACATGACGAGGAAGACCATGAGAACCTACCGCGGTTAGCCTGACGGCTAAGGGACTCTAACTCATGATCCGTCTACCACTGAGGATATTTCACGTTAACACTGTGGTCGGTGCAAGCCGGATGCGGATTCGTATCGACCAGCCATTGCCGGGTTTCTAACCCGGTTCACCTCATTGGCAGGCGAACGCTCTATACCCTGAGCCATCGCGGCTCTGCGTAAAAAGTTTGGATGTATTCAAACTCTGAGATAGCTTATCAACTTGATGCAATTAATAATTTTTCAATCACCATCTGTTTTTAAATATTTAAAAAGACTGCGTTCAAATTCTTGATAGTAATGATCCTTTCCCTGACACAATACTTCATCGATAGCTCACTTTATCCCAACAATCACTTTGCCGAGGGCTCACTTTGTCCCAACAATCACTTCGCTGTAAGCTCATCATCTGACATCATTTCGACGATAGGTGACTACAGCCGACACGAAAATTTTAATTACAATTTATATTTTCAGACACAATTTGTAATTTTTTTGTGTTATTTACACTGAAGGATATTTTCTGATTAAAACAAAATTACGGTTTCGTTAGAACTATAACTTAAATAACTTACTCAAAAATATGATTAGTAATGACATTTAAGGTATCCCTAGCGTAGGCGCCAATGGAGCTGAAAATCACAGAATACGATTAAATTTTAAGCCTAGGAAGTAAAGCCTGGATTTCTTTTTGTCAGTTTTGAAATAGTTTTAGAACTATAGATTGTTTGAAAACGCAATCTTCACACAAATGTGACACCAATTTCTTCTTGTGAGCAAACAAAGAGCAAAGTTATGGGAAAAAGATTATTTAAACTTAAGTATATTTTTTCATATATATGCTGATTCGTATCTTTAAATAAAGTCAAAAATATGTGTTACATATCGAACTCCTATTCAATTAATATAATCCATTTTTCTCACCCGAAAATAAAATACTTTATTGTTAAATATTCTTCTTCTATTGGCATACCAGCCCTTTTGCGGGCCAGAGCCTTCCACCTTCCTCCAGTCTGCACTCTTCTTAGCGATTGTTCTCCAGTTAGTAATTGTTGGGATTTTATAATCTCCTTCCACACAATCAAGCCATCTGATCTCAGGCCTACCTCGATTGTTAAGTATTATCTAATGCATATATACATACGATATTTTTGCGAAGAATTTTTTTTCCAATCACACTATCATACTAGCTTCATTTTTTATAGAAGAAAAACATTTCTTTTCTATATTATGAAGTCGTAAGCGTTTGGATGATCAACTTCGGGTTACATTTTGCTTTGTAGCACTAAAACTGTTAAACCAAGAAATTAAGAGAGTATGTAGAAAAGTCTGCAGAGAGTACGATAAATGAAAAAATTTACATCCTAATAACTAGTTTGAGAATTATTAATTGCAAAACCAGTAGTAAAAATTCTAATGTGGGCCACTTTACAGAGCACAGAAATGGGACTACAAAGGTGAAATTTGACATGTTGAAGGAGCCCTATTTATTTAAGTCGACAAAAAGCACTGCCAAAAACTTATTTGATCCATGCGCACATTAATCTTCGTGAATCAATTCATTGCGCACAATTCGGAGTAGCAGTTTTTAATGGGCTGCGATAATTCGTCGCGGGTACGATTTGTCTCGGCGACTCATAGAACTTGCTGGAGTGCATAGTGGAAAATGTTAATCAAGCATAATAAAAAAATCCATATTTGAACTTGCAAAGAAACTTTATTAAGCAAGAAAAAAATTTAACTTTACTTATACATCACATAGCTTTTTAAAAAGAAAACTTAATCCACAAGAGTATTCTCCTCTTTACAACATACAGCTATAATCTCTTCATACATTTATATATATAAATCTAATGTGGATCGGTCTCATATATACAAGCGTATATTTAATATCCAATCAAAAACGATTGCATAATGAAGGTGAAAGAAAGCGTAATAAATACACTTACAATTATTATGTAAATTTATCATCAAATTATTCTTAAATGTTCGAAATAAACTTGAAAATAAAGAAGTAAAAAGTCAAGAAGAGAAAGAAAACACCCTTTTTTTCCAGAGCTCAAGGACTTAAACTTACCCTTCTGAATCTATTTAGACTTTCTCCCTCTTCCAATGGTTTCTCGAACTTGTGATTTCTGACTCGCCATTCTGGCTTGAACCTTGCTCCATGAAATTCGTAGTCTAGCAATTTCGTCTTCTGCAGATTTTGTTTCAAGCACAAATTGTTACAGGCAAAACTCTTCGCTAGCGCAAAAAACCAGCAGTGAAAATCGCACTTTCATTCGATATAACGCGTACAGCATTTTACAAGAAATATAGTCAAATTCCGTCAAAATCCTAGTATAAAAATGAATTATGAGTTCATAACGAGTTAAGAATTACTAGCTTTCCGCTATTTTGACTAAATTATACGAAATATATTTTTATAAGGGAAATATAAATAACAGGAAATATATTTTTCTTCTGCTGTTTATGTGAGCTTTGTTATACGAAAAAGGTCAAAATGGAATCAATACAGAAAAACGAATTGTGGGGCCTTCCTGGCCGAGCGGTACAGCCCGCCAAATACTGTGCGAAGCGTGGAGGTGGCGGGTTCGAATCCCGCCGTAACCCAGGATGTATTCTGCGTGATGTCCTCTGAATTGTTCCATCTGTGCTTCCTATTGACCAAGGTTCATAAGTCTAAATTTAACACACAAGCCTGAAATATATGTAATTTAAATAAAGCAATAAAGTGCCCAAGATTGTCACCACGATGAATTGTCACTGCAGCAAATTGTACCCGTGACGAATTAACTCTTAGATAAATTGTTCCACAACAAATTTTGCACAACGAATTGACGTAGAACCGAGAGCAAGCGAAGATGATAACTATAATAGGAAAGTTCATTTTCAAAATCTGCCATTTTACTCTATGTTGTTAATTTCTTTCAGATTGAATTTTTGTTGTACTTTTTTTTTCTTTGAACAAAATTACGCCTAAGTTGGTCAAAGTATTTATCAACTTGTTCATTTCTTTAGATATTAATATATAATTTTCTATTTACTTAAAAATTTCTGCCGTAAATAGCTTCTTAATTAGAAAATCAATATTGTATAAAAAATTTTGAAATTAACTTTTTGTTTTGCACTTAATAGTATAATTAACTAGATAAAACTGTCAAATTGAATTATTCTTATTGTTAAAATCTTAAAATATATTGTTAGTTTACAATATTTATGCGCTTAAAAGATATATTTTTAAAGTAAGAAAAATGAATACAGACCTATAATTTTATGATTTTGCCGGATAAAAAAATTATCTATCCATGACAACATGTTAACTCTACGAGAAAATGTTTGTTTCGTTTTTTTCTTATTATATGCATAGAAACATTGCTCAAAAAGAAAAAAAGAAGAAAAAAGAGCAAAAAAAAAACAACTTGAATAACTTTTGATCTAATGATCAGAGTTTTCCCGTATGTCACAGAGATCAGAGAATCAGAGTTTCTTACTGGTTCAAAGGCTTGACCTTTAAAATGCCAATTAATTACTGCAGACAATACTTTAGGTTACAAAATCAGACACTAAAACGTACTTTCCTTGATTAAACAAATTTCCTTTCCTTTTATTCGATGGATTCCTCAGCCTTATAATATGGGGAGGGGGTTAGCATATATCTGGAAAATATGACCCTAATTGTTAGATCAGACAGCTGTCGAAAGTTTAAATCCTTTTATGTCAGTTTTACTTTTTGTGTATGTGCCATATTACAATAATTTCTTAAGATACTCTAAAAATTTTTGCACTCAGTTACAAAATTCGTTTATCGGCAAATATTTCAATGTAAAAAAAACTATTTTTTTACAAGTTTTCATTATTTTATTTGTTGTTGTTGTTGTAGTTAATTTACGTCGCACTAGAGCTGCACAATGGGTTCTTGGCGACGGTCTGAGAAACATCCTTGAGGATGATCCGAAGACAACCCATCGCAATTTTGATCCTCTGCAGAGGGGATGGCACCCCCGCTTCGGTAGCCCAACGACCTGCACGCGAATTCGAGCACTTTACGGTAGAACAGTTTAACGAGGACCCATACCGCACACCCTCGGTTCCTACGCAGACTGANTCTATGTACGTAAGACACTTGACTTCGGTGATCTTCTGGGAACCGTGTCTTAACGATCAGTCCACTGCGGGACCATTATTTTATTTAATAACAGTCTGAAACTCTTAAAATTGTAAGGAAGTAAAATTAAAGATTGTTTTAAGAAGCAAAATACAAAATTTTAATGAAATCTGCTGAATAGTTTCTAAGATTTTAATCTTAAAACAGTATTTTGAGGGTCAAGAATCCGAAGCCGTTGAAAAAAAAAAGTTATAATGTATTCAGATTAAATACGCTTTTGTTTCTGATTTCATAACTTAAAATTTTGCTTGCAACAATTAATTAATAGATTTGAGATAATTCAATTTTTTATTGGTTTTATTTCTCACTTTAACTAATTATTTTAAATAACTCTACTTTCAGGAAATGTCTTTTAAAAGCGGCTTTCACCAGTTTCTCATATTGCTTTATAAAGGAGCACTTTTGAGAAAGCGGCACTACATAGTTACCTTTTTTGAAATCGTCATTCCCGTCTTTATTGCAAGTATAATGCCTATGATAATGTCAGAACAGAGAAGTAAGTTTCCTGAATATATCAAGTTTGAAAGAGATAATCGGGGAAAAGATGATTATTGGCAAAGTGCTGTAACTTATGAACCTTTCTCTCCTTACAAAAATAATATTCATTATCGTAGCTTTTTCTTTGTGTATACTCCACCAAATGATATGACTACTGATTTCATGAAAAATGCTATTGAAAGATTCAAAGATGATCCTGAAGGAGTATTTCAGATTGATATTAGTAAGTTCAAGTATTTATTTTATGATTAAAGCAAAGATAGATTTTACTTACGTTGTTTTTTATTTCATATTCGTTGTTGAGCAGACGACCCAATGTTGAGATTATGATATCGATGTTCAACTCCGTAGCCTTGTAAAGTTGAACCTAATCCAGAAGACAAGGGAACTCCTGGATCAAGAATTGGGAGAAATTTGCTTTCGAGGAAGAATTTTTTAGGGAACTAACCAGCATTTGCGTTGCGTTGCTGTGAGGAAAACCACAAAAACTTCCCAAGGTTAGCTTGATGGCTAGGGGACTCTAACCCATGATCCATCATCAACATCAATTGAGACAGTTTTTGCAACCCATGATTGGAAATGTTGTGGCATTTATTGGAGTCAAAACGGAATAAAAAGCATTTGACCAATGGGTAAACAGTGATCGAAATAAAGCGATCGCATTTTTTTTAAAACAAAATTCCATTTTTCTTGGTAAGGTATTGCATTTTTACGTTTCGTAAAATTTTTATTGAGTAAAAAAGCTGCGAGTTACAAATCTTAGCATCTGCATCGAATTTTTAAAAGTATAAAAAACTAAATATAAGGACCTTGAAAATATTGTGTAGTAATAATATAAGTCTCACTTGTGAGTAAAATTACTTCTCATTTTTTATTGAGTGATCTGTCCTGCTAATTTTTTTTTCAAGTTTAGCTGGTTAATTTTTAAATCTAGGTGACCTTTCATTTAGTTACGGTTAAAATATTACAAAATGCTTTAACATAAAATTATATCAGTTTTTGTACATTTTATTTAGAAGAATTTTCTTTGCTTTTTTTCCAAAAAGATCGATTAAACCCATGATGAATAAGAAGGAATCACGGGGGTTTCTGATTGGAGTGCGCAAGTTCCGGTGCCTCCTACTAAATATATAAAGTATTTAAAATGTTGATTCATTGCCCTTATTTCATCTTTCAAATATTATTGCCTAAATGTGTTTGAATTTAAAATTTTTTAATTAATTATATTTATACATATTTTGATCTTTCTACTCTGTACTTCTCGTCGATCAAAGATAAACCAGCTTTGCTTGTTCAAAGTTGACCTATCACACACAATTTGGTTTTATCAAGAGCAACCAAACTGTAGAGAAGAATTTTTAAAATGAGTTTAATAGTTAAGAAACGACATATCTCAGTTAAATATTCATCTAAGAAATAAATTAATCAAGATTAATTCCTGATGTAAGCTTTAAAATTCAAAACAAATTTATACTTCATTCGGACTCCTTCGCTTAAGAAAATGGTTCACACTTTTATATGGACAGGTTCAAGAACATAATTTAACATGTTCAAAGATAGTACCTTCTTACTTACATTAAAATCTGATTACTTGATCAAAGAGTACGATAAAGGGGCGTTTTTTATTTTGGACACTGTATGCATATATAGCATAAAAAAATGCTTTAAAAAATATACCTGGGTTTATTTTTGTTTTAGAAATGGCCTCAGCGCAAACAGAAGAAGAGCTGGAGAAAATTTGCTTAAACGCAATGTTAGGATCTAGATACGGCAATAATTATGTTATCGGAACAATATTCAAGAATTTTAATCCCAGTAAAAAGGGATATCCACCATCCCTTGACTATATAATTAGGTATGGAGATACCTCATTTGCAACCTCAAGAAAATACAGAGTAAATGGACCGCATAGGGATACAGGTATTATTTTTTTCTCAAAAGAAAGAAATTTTCGTAAATTCCTACAGCCTCTTTTACATAAATTCTCAAATATTTCTTTTAGAGTATGCGGATACCTTTTTTCTAATGTGGCAAGCATCAATTGAAGATACATTTATAGAGAAGAAGATGAATGAGTCTGGAAAACAGTTCGATTATAAGGTATATATTTGAGCTAAGTAGATAAGGGCTTTAAGTGACATTCTTTTGTATTCGAGTTTGTTAGTTATAAGTCATAGTCGAAAAAGTTAATAAGTTACTTATTGAATCATCACAATTGAACAGTATATTGTCAATGTCATCATTAGTTCTCTGGTCCTCCAATATATCTGAACGTAACACTAGTGCTCAGAATCGGTTTGATTATAAGTTTAATGTTTGAGCTAAGTAAATGAAGAATCGACGAAATTTTATTACATTCAAGTAAATTAGCTTTAAAGTTTATGCATTACTTGTCTAATCATTGCCCAGTAAATTGCCTATGATATCGTTAGTGATTTGGCCCTCCAATATATCTGGGCTTACAAACAGTTGTCTTAAAATCGGTTTGATTATAAGGTTAATCTTTGACCTAAGTAGAGGAAGATTAAAAATATCATTAAATTAAATTCAAGTAAATAAGCTTTAAGGCTTAAGCGTTATTTATTATTCATTACAAATGCCATATGGCAATGTCACCTTTACTCTACTCTGTCAGCCTTACTTATACCTCCAATATCTCTGTACTTTATAGAATAAAAACGCAAGTGCATGATGTCTTGCATCAAAAATTGGATTTAGTCAGTTCATGAAGCAGCTTTATTTTCAGGCTTAAACCACGCAATATGGTGAATTGCGTGGTTTAAGCCTGCGTAAAGCTGTAGGCAAACAGTCATGACCGCAAGTCAAAGTTGGAAAAATGCCACAGCTTCATTTATACGAAAATGAAAACTGTTCACAGTTCTTCTAATCGCTGAGTCTAAGACTAGCAAGCAGATTCAAATGACTCTTTTTGTTTTATCCAAGAAGTTACTCTTTTTTTCCTAAAGTATTTACAGATTACAAAAAAGGCCAATAGCAAATTAACCGGAAACTCAAGAAAGGAGCAGATTTGACATTATCCGGAGTGATCATACTTTGGGAAAATATTAGCTATACTTTTGCTTTTATTTCGTGTTCGCAGCCTTACGATTGGTGAAATTAACACTCGTCTAAACTATTTGAGACATAAAGTATGCTCTTTTACGTTTTGATTCGCTTCGAAAAAAGTCTATATTTTTATATAAAACAGATAAACTGAATGCGCAATATACCCAAACGAGATATAACGGAGATCCACTTAAAATATATATTTATACATATATAATTCTAATATTAAAAAACGCTTTCTCGCAATAGCCTGTTGTAAACCTGGGAGATCATAGATATGAAGTTTTTCAATTTCGTAGCCAATGGTGCGAGAGGCGGGGGGGGGGCAGCGTGTTTAGTATTATGTATCTACCGCCCTTATTTTCTAGACAAGCAGATACCTATTCATATGAAGCTGTGTGGACTTCAAGCCGCCATCGGAGATCAAATCTCAGTTTTTTACAATTACAAGCCAGACATTAATAGTACATTATTTATTTTATTAAAATTAATAATTTATATTACATAAATAACACATAATTTATTTTAGGTCAATATGCAAAGATTTCCTTATCCTGAACACAAGAAGGTTGAAAGTATGTACAATGAAGTTTCAATTGTTCCAATGCTGTTTTTGTATGGGTATTTAATTTTCGTCCTCAACCTTTTAAGAAGAGTTATCGAAGAAAAAACTAATGGCTCGAAAGTAAGCTGAAATAAATTATGTTTAGATTTTCTTTATTAATTTTTTTTAAAAATTACTCACTGCATGTAAAACATGAAATGCATTATTTTACTCTTTTCAATAATTGTGTGAATGTAACCCGCCCTATAAACGGGTTTGTGGTTGCATGACATGGGCGACGTTTCTCCACCCCGGTGGCTTAGCCATAGGTAATGATAAGAGAGTAGCAATTCCGGATTTTCTGAGGCCACGTGCCCGCCATTAACCAAAAAGAAAGAAACCTCAACTCTTTTTCAGTAGAAGAGAAACTTCCTACGGCTGGTAGTTTTAGTTTGAAATCTAGAGGAATCTTGAAGCTTGGTAATTCTCTTTTACGAAATGGCGAAAATTCCATAATGTTATTTTGTGCTTGTTTTAGCTGGAATCAATTGAGATATCAAGAAACAAAACCTGATTGATCCCTCTTGGTTATTTCGAATTCTTTGGCTTCACCGGAGTTTAGTCTGAAGTCTAGTTCAGTCTGAGATTTTAGTCTAGCTGAATTTTAGTTTGACTGAATTTATGAATACGAATATGGCTGTTTTCTACGTTTAACTTTCCTAGCTTTTCTGTCAACTAAGGAGAATCTTACAATCGAAATTTCAATCCCTTTCTGATTAGCTGAAGTGCTCAAGTTTCAACTAGAGCCCTGATCCTTATGATAATACACCTTTAATGAATTCATAACTTTTACAGCCATTATTACACTGTTATTTCTAAAGAGAATCAAAGTTTCTATCACTTATTGACCACCTATGGTAATGAAATTTCTAGAAACAACTTTGTTCCCGGAAACACAGAAATGTCCGCTTTGCAAAAGTTTTCTCCTAGCAGAATTTACTGCCAACTTGAAATTCGTCTACTTTTTGATGTAAATGGGACTTTTGTGATGTGCTTTTTGATGTAAAATATGTTTTATGATGATTTTCTGTAAAAATAAGTGACAGACTTTAAAATGAAAAATACTAACATAATAACTCGTTTTTTTTAGAGGATAGATAGGATAATAGAGGTACTTTTCGGTCAGCAGGGCGCAAACGGAAAGTCGCCAATTTTTTTTTTTTTTAAACACATGAAAATTAAATAAAATAATTTTTTTAAAAAAATAGGTTGAATTTCTTTGCTTCCAGTTAATCGAAGAGTATCTAAATAGATTTAGAAAATATCTTTTTTGTCACATCTGAAACATAAAACGTGGGACACACCACTTTAGAAATAAACATCTATTCACATTTCTCATTGAACATATCAGAAAAATAAATTTATAATTGAATTATTTTCATTTCATAAAAGCACATGTTTGAAAAATATTAATTCAATTCGCTCGTAAAGATGAGGTTGCCTCAATGCAATTTTTGAAACAATTTTCACTCAATACAATTTTTCATCGGTGGAGTAGTAAAGCTTCAAAATCAAATCTTTAACAATACAAGCGTTTTTCTTAACACTTGATTGTTTTCTTTGTATTACAGGAACTGATGAAAATGATGGGAATGTCGGATACTGTGTACTGGATCAGTACATTTGCAAATTATTTCATTGTCGGCTTATTTACAGTTATTTGCATAACAATTATCTACAAAGTTCCTCTGAAGACTGGATATATTTTTTTGGAAAACACTAATATAATTTTACTTTTCTTCATGCTTTTGCTGTATTTGTCTAGTGTCATACTGTTCTGCTTAGCGTTCTCAATATTCTTTAACAGAGGTAAAAAAAAGTTTTTTTTCATACCGTCTTATAATTTATTTATTTTTTAAATTTCAATATTTAAATACCATTGCAATATGTAGCTTACCATACCAAAATGCCAAATTTATAAAAATATTAGCAAGGTTTCTTGTTACTTTGATTTTTCGATTGCACGTCAGAATAGTTTGAAACCAGTTCTCGTTGTTGTCGGTTTACTCTCATTGGTCAAAATAATCACATGATAGGATCCTTCACTGAGAAAAAAGGCCCAAATTTCTTTTGTTGTCATAACATAATAATAAAGTTATGATTGGATTTTGTTACTAATAAAGTATATATTTCTCACTTAGGTAACTGTATTTATTTGCAATATTTAAAGTTCTTCATTTTTGTTATTCTATGTTATTATTGTGTTTTTGGATTTGATTCTTATTTTAAGGGCTTAAAATTATAAAAGCAATGTCCTTTTTTTTTTTTTTTAAATCTTCTCATAATGATAACTTTTTAAGCAGAATTTGGGAATAAACATATTTTAAACGATTTATAATTAACTACATTGAACGTTTGACATTTTTTAATCATCAAATAGATATTTACTTTTTACGGTTAACAATTTAAATAAGTACGCAGAAATCACGCGAGTCTGGGAGAGAAATAGGCAAGGGGCAGAGAGTATAAATAAGAATTATCAAAAGTAATAGAATTAATCCTTTAAAAAATAATGTATTGCAATAAAGGTAACTTTTTATAAACACTTATTTATAAATTTTGTAGTTTACTATAATATCTACCACATCTAGTATAATTATTTTATCTGTTTGTTATAAAATATAAAAGAAAACTTTGAAATAAAAATTATTTTATGAAATTTAATGTTATTTTTAAAAATAAATCACGTGCCATTCCGTAACTTTTGAAGCAATACTTATCTAATTCTATTTGATTTTTTATGAGTTAATAAGGAATTTGATTATTTTTAAACATAAGTGATTTTTAGCATTTTTCTGTTTACAAATGACATTTGTATAGACATCTATTGACAATTATAATAAATGATATCTGTTTTTCTAGTTTAATTAACAATTAATATATACTTTAAATGCTTAAGTAAAATTAAATACTTTGTACTTTACAGATTATTATATGATATAAATTCATTAATTTTATTCTATTTAAGTAGATTATTTTATAAGGGACATGCAATGCAATAAAAACAATATTTAAATTTTATAATATTTACAGAATTTTATAGTTATTTGCGTTTTTGAATTGTTAAACACAAATTATATTACTGAAAAAAGTAAATATAGTCTTTTCTTTTTATTATAGCTGTTTTTGCGATCATTGTCTTCATTATCATATGGAATGTTTCTCACTATATGATCTGGATAACATATTTTATTTACGATATTGACGGCAAATTCTTTAATTTATCTCAGATTGCTAAACTTGCAATTTGTCTACTTCCAACAGGCAGTGTGCAAATCATGTTTAGCATTATTTCCCTTCACAAGCAATTTAGTAAGTATAATTTATTACAATTTTGTTGTTTTATTAGAGTGTCGCATGCCTCATCTATATTCAAAGATATTTTTCTTTTAAAATTTATATGAAACAGCTATTTCTATCAATGCTTACAAAACTGTATATTTTAGATGCTTAAAAAAACATGCACGCTACACTTTTTGAATTTTCATTCTAAAATTAAGGTGAAATAATCAGCAGTAGTCAGTCCATCCTATTAACCATGCAGTTTACGGTAAAGAGCATTCTTACCATTACGGTTTTGAAATTATTTACAACTACTGTGCTTAAAAAGGCATGAACACAAAATTATATGGCTTTTTAACCATTTACAACTACTATGGTTTCAAAATCTCTCTCTCTCACACACACACGCACACGCAACACATATATATATAATTTCTTTATCATCATAAAATGTATTTCTATAGATTTATATGAAAAATATATGTATTTTATATATTTATAATCTCCATGAATCTATGCCATTAGAAATTTAGGTAGTAAGATTTTATTAATTTTGTAGAAGAAGGCGTTACATGGAGCAACTTGACAGAATTTATAATCACTCCAGATATGAATATGCTCATGGTCTTAGCAGTGATGTTCTTTTCCTGCTTTCTTTACATTTTAATTATTTGGTATTTTGACAAGGTTTGGCCTTGGCAGCCTGGAGTGCCACAGCCATTTTATTTCCCATTTACAGTTAAGTAGTTTACGTTATGTTTGTTTTTGAGTAGGAGAAATTCCTCTTAAATTTCCGCATATTTAAAGTTAATAGGATATTTTTGTTCTAATTAGAAAAGCTACTGGTTGGGTAGCAGGCCGGAAAAAGCCAATGAGTTGGAAATGACAGGAGAAAATAATCGTGATGATGAATTTTTTGAGGAAGAACCACGTGGAAGTTTTCCTGGAGTGGCAATACATAACTTATATAAAGTAATTTTAATATACTTCTTTCATACCATTAAAATTATCACATTTACTGAGACAAGCTTTTACAGAGCTTTATTTGATAGTAAAATACAGAAAAAAACTCTGTTGTAAATACAGCTTTTTTTTAATTTCAAAGGTTTCTTAATTTAGCGTTTTCAGAATAATTTATTTTGAATGCGCAGAAAACACTTCTTTTGCGAAATATTGTTTTTAATTTAAAAGTTTCCAACTCTAAATCAATGTTCATTCTGAAACAAATTAGACTTAATCTAGAAGAAATTGATACATCATTTTGAACATAACGGTTATTTTCTTAGGCAACATCGTTAAAATATAATAAGTATTAATTAAATAGCGTACTCATACATCGCATAGGTAAAATAACATGAATAGTTAAATTATAAGAAAATAAAAAATATATATATATATATTTTAAAATATAGCAGTTAAAAAGAAAGAAAATATTATAGTTTTTACAGTTATAAGGTTGTTAAGTAAATATTACCTGTTTTTAGAAACCAATGCTTACTATTTATGAGTTGATGAAAGATTTCAGACCGTGGTTCACAATGAATCAATAATCCGTAAATCAGTTTTCGTGATTGTATTTAGGAATCTCATCTTTCCCTTAATTTTATACATGAATTCGTTTTTCTAGTTACTTGGAGCATAGCTTTTAACTATATGGAAAAAGATGTTCGTATTGAAAGAAATCGAGAAAACTGAAATTTAGCAGTGTTAAAGTATTAGAACTATAATGCTTGAACTTCGATTATCTAAAACATTTTCCTCCCAATACACCGTTGTTAACCAAGATTGTGAAATTTTTTTTGACACACGCACACATACACAGTTTTCGTATTGTTCTCAGTCTAAATAGCATGTTGTTCTTAGGGTTCACACCAGCAATGGAAATTTAGTGGTCCATTAGCATCACTTAAGTATTCATTGAAAGGTCCAAAAACATACGTTAGATTAAGGCTCTATGTTCCTGAAATCACACGTATGTGTGGTAAATTCGTCATTTTGCAATATGCTTGGAATTTGCGAAAAAGCAATGAAAAGTATTGAGTTTAAATTTTTTTTTGAACATAGAATTCAATGCATAAAATACTTTTCATTGCTTTTTTGTAAATTCCAAGCATATTGCAAAATGACGAATTTACCACACATACGTGTGATTTCAGGAACTTTTGTGGAACATTTGGTAAAGAATGTTATGTTATCTGTCCGAAATATGTAATGTCGAAGATATGATGAATTTTAAAATAAAATGTATTTATACCTCCGAGCAATAAAAAAGACTAACAAATAAGTATATTGAAATTGAAATTAAAAAATATATGGCACCTTTATTTTTTTAAATTTTGGACTTAACTGTTGAAAAAATATTAAATAAACATGTTACCTACATTATTCCGGATATTTCGATCATCCGAAATAAGTCTGATTTAAACTACTTAGGATAATCAAAGTATGATTGCACTTTACAACTTTTTGGAAGGCTTTGCAATAATCAAAATTGTGCAGGAGCCATTAGCTCCCTTTTCTCCTTCACACTAAAAACTAAACTAATCTCAGTGGCTCGACAGCCCATAGAGGGCCAAGGCCTACTCTGCCCATCTCAGTTTTCTTTACCTTGGGCTGTGGGGTGCAGATGTTCTGGTCAGGTGGTCAGCCGATAGCCGGACCCCCAGTATTTAGTTCCCAAGCATGCTTGGTACTCATTTATCGACCCACAGGAGGGATGAAAGGCTGAGCCAACCTTGCCCAGCCCGAGGATCGAACCCAGGACCTGTGGCACGGGAACGCGAAGCGCTACTACTCAGCCAACGGGCGTCTACTCCTTCACACAATAGTACTAGTTTCATGACTAGTTTCAAAGAGTGCTGGACAGGCACCGCTCATGAGCCAGTTGGAAAAGGCTTGTTTAACGCTAGAAATTACCTAACTATTCTCATAATTGTTTTATAAAATCATAGAAAAGCTACGAATAAATTAGCAATTAATAACTAAGGAACCTGTCATACCTACAACTGGTTTGTGTCTTAAAAAATAATCTAGAAGGTTGATTTAATTAATTTTGCCCACTGAACTTATGTGTATTATATTGTATGGTACTTAAGTTTTGTTGCAATTTGAAAGTTTTATGCTTAACTTTTTGACACAGTCGTTTCAAGTTGGATTTCAAACAAAGATGGCTGTCAAGAATTTATCTTTGAATATATACCAAGGACAGATAACTGCACTGCTTGGTCACAATGGTGCTGGAAAGACTACAACAATTAATATTCTGACTGGTAATATTTAATTTCTTAATTTTGTGCATCTAAGCTTGTAAGGGTTTATTGAAACAGAGTTACTTTCTTATTATCGATTTGTAAGTAATGAGAAAGTTTGAACTTTGTGCTAATTAGAGCGTTCTTTATCCTACAGTCATAACGTGATTCTTCGAGAATTACAATTTCTATGTATACTTCTAGAAATATAACACTTTCTTGGAACTTCTTAGTTGTAAGAAGTTTAAGATTACCTTGAAACCGTAATATCATTCAAATTTGCTGTAAACTTCAAATACACTACTCAAAACAATTAAAGGATATTGTTAGTCTTGTATTGAATTAAGGTAATAACATACCTGCCAACTTTTAATCCTTTCGAGTATGATTTTCCTCAGGGGTAGTAAAATGGAATTTAAATTACAATTTTAGACAGAAACATACGCTGTATTTTAGAGGAGCTTATGCTGAATACATTTACAGTATTATACATTAATATATATGCTTAATTTTTTTCAAAAATAGTGGTGGTCAAAAAGATTATAAATTAAATTTATAAATGCAAGGAATATGTAGAAAGCATACATTTTACTACCACTTTAAATGTAGAAATAAAATTTTACGCCAAATGCGTAAGAGTTGGCAGGTACGTAATAAGCATTTTTTGTTGTTGCGTAAAATTGAAGAAGAGTGACAATTGCAAATTTTTCTCATTTTCAAACTTCGCAGTATGCAAATTTTAAGTTTGACGTCAAAGACGACGCTTTAGCGGCAGCGAAATTTGATTTGGCTTTCAACTTAATGTAAGACAAAACGGAAAAGAATGATCGACATTCAGTGCGTTTTTCGATGAGCGCGATGTCTCAACGAAGTCATTTAACCGAATCAATCAGAAGCTTGGGAAGTTGTTGGCCAGTTAGAGGAGGGCAAAAAACTAGCCAAAGTAGCAGAAGCCATTGGAGTTTCAGAAAATGTGATTTCCAGGATCTGGAACCTTTTTTTGGAGACTAGAAATGCAGGTGGAAGATCAAAGAGCAATGGCGTAGACGTGAAATTTAACGCTAATTAACGCTAATTAAGCCATTAATTAACGCTAAAGGCTCGGAGGCACCGATATATGAATGTCACTCTTCTTCAACAACACCTTCACTTGGCTATTGGCACCACAGTTTCGACACAAACATGTCCGAAACCTCCTTCACGCTGTAGGTCTGAATGCTCGCCGACCAATGGTATTGGATGACTGGAGGAGAAATGAATGGCGTCCTGATAATAGGTGTTATTTTAATCTGGTGGGAACGTCGCACTAAGAACAATCCTGCGTTCGTGCACGAAAGTGTAAGATTTGACTGTGGAGGGAGTGATGGTTTATGTTAGCATCTTCATTTATGGGAGCACCGATCTCCATATCATTCGAAATGGAGCTCTGGCCAGTCATCGATCTAGAGATGACAACCTGAGAGATATTTCAGTCCCTTACGCTGCAGCAATTGGAAATGACTTCATGTTAATGGGTGACAATTGCAGGCCACATCGTACTAACATGGGGAATGATTTCCTTTTGGAGGAAGGGATCATACGAATGGATTGTCCAGCTCGTTCTCTGGACATGAACCCAATCGAGCATGTTCGGGACATTCTAGGCAGACGAATTGCTGGACGCCTACCACTTCCACAAATTCTCCTAGAACTGGAAAAAAGTTCTTCTAGAGGAGTGGGACAGAATATCCCAGCCCTCCATTAGTAACCTCATTGACGCAATTCCTCAAAGAAGTTGAACGTTAGTCGCCGTCCGGTGAAACCATACCCCCTATCTTCTAAAAGCAATTTTTTTTAAGGAAACACCTTTTTTTAAATTTGTTTTTCTAATATGCATGAATTTACAAATGTCATTTTTATCTCACATGGCCTACTGAGTCTGTCGATAAATTATTTGAAAAAATTAACCTTCGTGGAGGTCTTTTCGATGGAAATATCCCGAATTTGCCTTACGTTCAGAGGAAAACCAAGAAAATCTACCATGGTTAGCCTCAGAGCAAGGGGACTCTAATCCATGATCCTACTACCACTGAGGATATTTTACATCAGCACTGTGGTTGGTGCGAGGCGGGTGAGGAAATTGTAACCACCAGCCATTTCTGGGATTCGAATCCGGGTCACCTCATTAGGGAGCGTTCTATCCCCTGAACCATTAAGGCTGTACGGGTAAGCAATGTAGTAAAATCCTTCAAAATAAGTGGACATATGCAAAATATTTAAGCCGATGTTTTTATGCGCAAGATATGTGTCACGTCAGAACGAGTATAGAACTGGTTCAAGGCCATATGAAGATCACGCAGAGGAGCGAGTTTTACGATCATAAAGGCTAAAGGGAGGTGACAAAAGCACATAATGCTCATAGTTTCAAAAGGAATACATATGGGGATGTTGAAATGATGACTGTATCAAACCAAAATACCTCAAATTTTGAATATGCCTCTATATGTGATTTCAAAATCAGGCGCTGATCAACGTAATCTACGTGTCAGAAATATCGGCACCTATTTACATTTGTATACACTTATGTATACACGTAAGTATCCTGTATACTCAGATTTCCAAATGACTGAAATAAAAATATATTTAGTACGTCGAGTATAAGAAATTTGAGTTTTCGTTATAAAATGACTTTTTTAATAGGCATTTCGGTTATGCAAATTAGTTTTTGATTGCAGCCGCCAACATTAGAGAAATGAGGGCTGAGCTGTGAACGCTTACTTTTAACTTTTGATTGCATCCGAAATATTTGTTTTAAAAAAGCAACACTTGTTAGAATAGTTTAAATTTATGACGTTCGTATTTCATTAAATATTTTTTTCCAATCATTTCATTTAAATAATGCATTTTTTTAATCTTCTTATCAGGCCTTTATGCTCCTACTAGTGGAACTGCTTCAATCAATGGAGTTGATATTTTAACCAATACAAGTCAAGCTCGAAAAGGTCTTGGTGTATGTCCTCAACATAATGTCCTGTTTAACACCTTAACAGTCATGGAACATTTAAAAATTTTTGCTGGGGTATGTATACATTTTATATTAGCATAACTGCATATATTCGTAACTAATTTTACATTTTGATATCGAATTATGGTTTATTACGAATAGAGAACCCGTTTTACAAAATATAAATATCGGCTTTAATTTTTTTTTCAAACTTGTTTGCTTTTTAACGTTTTCAAAAACCTTCTTTTGTGCTAAATACATGATTTTTCGGGCTCAAACATTTAAAATTTCATAAAATGTTCCAGGTAAAATAACCTTTGATAAGTAAACAAAAAATCAATTCGTTTATATCTTAAAATATTTTGCCTCTAAGCTTTATTATACAATACAATCATGGTGATATAAGGAAGTGTGATTATGATTTAATGCAGAACTAGAAAGCAAGCATATTTTTTCATTTAACATAACATCAAAGTAATTATTCATTGAAAATATTTACTCTCCTTAATACTAAATGAGTAATGAATATATGTTCACACAATCCATGAATATTTCTATTAGATAAGCAAAAATATGTCTTTCAAACAATTTTTTTAATTTCTTTCTTTCTATGCATGCTAAAAAAGTTTTTTAATCTTCCAGTTGAAAGGAGTGCCATTAAGACAACTTGAACATGAAGCACTAAAAACACTAAACATTTTGAAATTGATGGAGAAAAGGGATGAACTTGTGAAGAATCTTTCTGGTGGAATGAAAAGAAAATTAAGTCTTGGAAATGCTATTGTTGGAGATTCTAAAGTAATTAACTATTAGAGAGTTTTTCCGTTACGTTACTGTTTCCCGTAAAAGCTAGCACTAATCGCACTTCACCGCGCATGCGCGAAAATCGTCCAAAAATAAAATAAAATAAATAAGTAAAACAATAATACATGCCTTTAAATACAGCGTTTGCATTACGTTTTTACAAAACCTTAACGCTATTTTCCGAAGTTTTCTTTGTGTGCCATTTGTTTGCGTTACCGAAAAGTTTTGCTTTTCTTTATTTTCATTTAATTAATTTTTTATTTCATTTAATTCAGTTTTTACTCCATTTAATTCAATTTTTTACTCCATTTAATTCATTTTTTAATTTCATTTAATTCATTTTTTACTTCATTTAATTCTTTTTTTTACTCCATTTAATTCATTTTTTATTTCATTAAATTCACTTTTTTATTCCGTTTAATTCATTTTTTATTTCATTTAATTCATTTTTTATTTATCACAAGAACCTCCTACGGTTAGCCTGACGGCAAAGAGACTCTAACCCATGATCCGTCTACCACTGATGATATTTCATGTCAGCACTGTGGTGAGTGCAAGCCGGATGCAGATTCATTTCGACCAGCCATCGCTTGGGATTCGAACTCGGTTCACCTCATTGGAAGGCAAGCGCTCTGACCCCTGAGCCATCACTGCTCAGGGGATAATTATTGAAATTATCCCCTGATAATAAATATACTAGTAATAGTAACTGAAATCAAAACAATAAGCTATGTACTAAAAAACAAAACTAATTGAGAAATGGTACCCATTCGATTAAGAGAAATGTAAATGATCGCCTTACATTATTGAGCTACTTCTAAAGCATTTTAGAAGGGAGCACTGATCGAATGTGAAATGAATGAGTGCTCCTTATATTTTAATTTTGTTGAAAATGTGAATATCAATCTTAAATTAAGCTTAGGCTAACTGTAACATATGTATACAATGTATATATTCATATCTCCTATATTCATTTTAAAGTGGTGAGTGCAATAATTTTAAAAGAAGAGCGCAATACTGTGAAACTATTATAATAAAAATATTATTTTTATTCTCGGTTCAGGGAGAGCAAATAGCGAAAATAAATCGTAAATCTGAATCCGTCGAAAGAAAAGGTATGTTATTTAGAGAAAGTACTTTCTTATGTCTGATTTCTTAACTTAAAATATCGTTTGTACCTATTAATTAGCATATTTGAAGTCATCCCCTACAGCCATTAAGATTGAGTCCTAGATCGTGAAGATCAGTTCATTAGGATCAAAAGTTACTCAAGATAATCCGTTTTTTTTAGCACTTTACATCCTTCTAACACTTTGAATCTTTATGAGAATTTAAAGCTAAAAATTCTCCGAGGAGAAATATTTTGTCGGTGTTGCACCAACTTAAGCATTTTTTGTTCGCAATTTTCAAATTACTTACGTTAAAATTAACGTTCCTACGTTATTTGTGAGATACAAAACGCTATTTCTGAGCAAGCGCAGTATGGCTAGAGAGTGGGAAATACATTTTGCATGTCTGTTAACGTAACGCAAATGTAACGTAAAAGCTCTCAATTATATTTTGATAACATCAGATATACTATCAAGCTGAGCTTCTGTTATGACTCGTTTTTTCTTGACTTATTTTTGGAAAATGACGAGGACTAATAACAAAGTAAATATCTGTACAAATTTTAGAAAAAGACTACTTAAAATCTTAATTTTACGAAAATAAGGTTCAGTTTATTCACAAAGAATCCCCAAGCAGTCACCGAAGCACATACGAACGATACAAACCCGCCATCTTCGCACATCGCAGCGTTTGGCGATGAACAATACCCCTCGGCCACGGAGGCTTCAATGTATCAATATGCAATTTTTTGGTCAAATTGAATTTTCGTTTCAAAATGTTTCGTTATTATTTTTTATTTTTTAATATTATTTTTTTGCTGTACGTTTCCGAGAATTTTTTTTTACGAAATGATTTTTGGAAAAAGATATTAGGCTCAACCCAACTAACAAGGAAATGTAACCAAGTGTAGCATAAAATTTTGCTATCAAACAATTTTTTTACAGATTTTGAAGTCCTGATTGCGAATATTATATTTATTTCGTGGCCACTATAACTAGTTATACTTTCCTCCCTCCATAAAATATGCTGCATTATACAAGATAAAGATTGCAACGAAGCAGGTTGCTCAGCAGGTAAAATTAGGAAAGATGCGTATCATTCATTTAAAAGGTCTTAACAAAAGCTACTGTCAGAATTTTATTTTCGTAATTTTTTCGCTTTTTTGCTTCTCTGACTTACTCATGGAAAGGAAAAACGCACCGCTAGATGTCTAATTATTCAGAATTTCACCAATGTTTATCCAGGAATGAGCAACAAACAACCACTAAACATACTTTATTCCTCTTTTTTTAATGAAATTAATAACACATCCACACTATGAACAAATCAGATTATGCCACTTAATGGCGTACGGAAAATAATTTTTATTGAAAAACATGCTTTAAAGTAGTCCCTAAAATGATAAACCATTCAGATAATTTTCTAACTACTGATCTAAATTTTATTTTCGGTTTAGACCGATGCTTGTTATAAATGTAGCAAAAAATTTATAGATGGTTCTTATTATCACGAATCATTCTGAATGTACAATGCAATACACACATTATTATCAATAATTAAAATATTCACTGTTTTAAAAAAAAGATATAATGAAAAAATATAAATAAAATTTTCATAACTTTAAATAAATTTAAAAAAAAACCTACCGAGGAACGAAATCGAAGAATAAATAAACTTCAAAATTATAAACGACACGAATCCCACAAAAATTACGTCAACCATCATTACAGCAACCATTTTTGTTTCATTTCGCCTCCAGAGGGAGCTTCGTTTCTTATTTGTTTTACACAGTATGAAATGCTTTTTTAAGACATGTGTGAGGTAACTTAGGAACCATTGAAGTGGCATCAAATCAATAACATATTCGAATTCAGCCTTTGTAAAATGTTTAAAAAAATTTTTGTTTGATATTTAGATTTTATGTTACACTTGGCACCATTTCCTTGCAAGTTGTTAAATTTTAAAACGAATTTTTTTTGTTTATTTTCAATTGCTAGTACAGTATATCAAGACACTTTGTAACTTTTTCTAGGTACTGTTTTTGGATGAACCAACTTCGGGATTGGATGTTGAAGCCAGGCGCAGTGTGTGGGATGTCCTTCTTGATATTAGGCATGATCGCACAATTATTCTAACAACACACTACATGGAAGAGGCTGACATACTAGGAGATCGCATAGCCATCATGGCAGAAGGAGAAGTGCAATGCTGTGGATCTCCCATATATTTGAAACGAAAATTTGGTTTGTAATTATTATTCCATATTGCTTTAGCGTCACTACTAAATGAATAAATTTGAAAAAAAAATAAATTCCCACTGATTAAGAGAGTAAAACTTTGTCACCGCAAAGCCTTTTTAAACTTAGTAAAAAGGCTAATCATACGAAAGTACAAATCTGGACAATTGGGTGGGTTGCTCAAGTCTTCTCATTTGAATTACTAATGAAGTTTCTTTGCCTTAACTGTGTAAATAAAAAGTATTAGATCTTTGCAATCGGTCTTTCTTAATAATTTTTAGAAACGGATTGAATTACTGACAGCTGATGGTTGCAAGTATTACCAAATAGAGGTAAAAAACTGTGCGAATTCTTTTTTTTCTTCACACAAGCAACTATGCCTGACGATCACTAAAAAATATCTAACTAACATACTTTGGATTGAATGTCTTCTGTTTTGTTACTTATTAATTGTATATAAAAGTGCCCGCCAGGTGGCCGAGCGGTTAGCCCGCCTGACTGCGAAGCCAATGGCCGCGGGTTCGTATCCCGCTCTGGGCACGGATGTTTCTCTCTCTTGTGTTGTCCTCTGTTGTGTGTGATGAGGGAATGTGACCCACCCTATGAACGGGTTTGTAGCAGTGTGGCGTGGACAATGTTACTCGCCTCCGTGACTTTGGTTCAAAGGTGCCCACTGGGTAACGCGAAATGAGTAACACCTCTGACATCTTCTAAGGCGAAGTTCAGTGCCTGCCATTCGAAATTTTTTCTTACATAAAAGTAATTATTAACTTGAAATGAAAATGTAAAATTGTGCGAATCTGAAAGTGAATTTTTTATTTCTAATTTTAGGAACAGGTTATCATTTACACATGGTAAAGCTACCCGATTTCAACTTGGAACAGATAAATGTTATGTTGAAAAAGCATATTCCTGATATCAAAGTTGTGAAAGAATTAGAAAATGAAATTACTTTCAATTTATCGTCAAATACTGGTTCTGTTTTTGGAAATATGTTTGAAGAATTAGAAAGTCGAAAGGACAAGCTTGGAATAAACTCATGTGGCATCACAGTAACAACCATGGAAGATGTTTTCTTAAGGTCAATTTTTATATTTTAAAGATAATTTAATTGTAATACTTTGAGATACAAAAAAAGACAGAAAGAAAAAAAATATTTATAATATTGTAGAAACGTAACTATAAAATTACGGAGATAGTGTTTCGTATTTTTAGAATCATTGCAAAAATGAAGTCAGCAGAAGTCTTTTGGGAAATATCAATCAGAAAATGTCATTTTAGAACAATGTTCTCTTTTTTTTTAAAGAAGAAAAAAATCATTAAAATTTTTTTGGGAAATTTACTACTTTCTTTTCTTAAACAAAAAAAAAGAGAATTAGAAGCTTTACTAGAAAAATTAAAATTTCTACGACATCAGTAAAGTTCGTAGTTCATAAATATATACACGTTCCCCTCTTTTTTAAACGCGTATAATATTCGATTCTATGGAATTTTGTTATAATTATCTTCATAAGCTAATCCAATCACCTAATCTTGTTAAATTACAAGTGAAGTGTTCACCTAATTTTGTCAAATTAGTTAGACAAAAGACAAGTTAGACAAAATTAGCTGCCTGATTACGAATCAACAAACCAAAAAATTAACGTGCAAAATGTAAATATATATGCAAAATATATGTAAAAAAATTAAATGTTCGTAAAAACTTTCGATTTAAGATTAATTTTTCACATTCTAAGTGGCAATTTTAATAGCTTAAAAAATAGATCTTCAATCTGTTAATCAATTAATACAGGCGATATTTTAAATTATGAGTTTACACCCAAAAACGTATTTTATCTTAATAAATATATCTATTTTTTTACTTTCAAAAATCCTTGTGGAAGCCTTATACCGTTAAATATTATCTTAATAGTTAAGTCGGTAGAGAATTTTAATAGTTTAGTCGGTATAACTAACAGGTTTAAACTGAGACTGTTAGTTCTGAATTTATGTTCCAGCCAAATTGTTGACGCAATTTCAGAGAATAAACCAATTTTTGCATACAACTACAAAAAAATAATTACATGCAGAAATGTATTTTTACTGCTCTTTATTAATTTAATGTTTAAAATTTGAATTAAAAGATATATCTTTTTTTGGAAAAAAAATTTAAACAATGCAATTTTAAATGATAAGACAAATGGTTTTAATGAACTATGTTACGAGGAATTCAAATTTTAAAATACGATCTCTTTCAAATGTTACTGTTTTTACTTTCTGGTTTATTTATTATTAATTATTATTACTAATATATAATTAATATTACTAATTATTTTTACCAAAAAGTTTTTTTTTTTTTGCTTTGTGCCGTGAATTCTACATGCAACTTAAACCAAACACATGTTATTTTTTTTCCAAAAAGTTTTTGGGCGTTAGTAACTGAAATTTAAACGCCGTAGTCAAAATTATTTTATTTAACGTTGCTGTAAAGTAATTTTTTTTAACAAGATAAATTTTTTCTATGTAAAAAATCTCCATAACTCAATATTTTAACCGAACCGTTTGCATATAGTTATTATAATTTACTTTATTCTCGTCTTCAATTTACCAAATTAAAATGATGCATATGCACAATTCGACAATAGCAAGGAGTAAAGCAAAAAGGAGAAAAAATATTAATTTTTTTTTCAAGCAGTTATTACGAACTCGTGCTTTTTCCTTAGTTGCTATAATGTAAATTCACAATATGGATTTATTTCAAAAACGTTGTTTAATTTCTATTTAGTTTAAATGCTACTACGTTTCTTATTAATTTCTTCTTCATTATTTCATATCTTTTAATTATACATTCCTCTAACTACAATGATATTCATGTTTTAAATAATATAAATACTTGAGTAGATGGATAAAATCATGTTCTGAAAAATTTGTGATTTACAGGGTATCAAATATGTCGGATTTAAAATACATGAAAAAAGATGCTAACAGACAATTGCTGCAAGGAGTGTCTGTGGAATTTGAAGGCAAATAAAATATTTATTCATATATTTTATTTAAAATATCGATGCTCATGTTAATAAATAATTTTTCGTTGCTATTTTTAACTTTAATATTCGTTTGAAAACAAAAAATTCAAAATTTACTTTGGTTCTATTATCGGAATTATATTTGTATTAAAATATAAAATCCAAAAAAAGTAGTTTGAAAAAAAATACGAAACATTCATAATTTTTTCATATTTAAATATTTATCAATAACTGATTTTGTAAATTAAAGGAATTTCAATGATAAATAATTGTTTGTTTCTGTTCTGAATAACTACAAATGAGTCCAAATTTGAAAAATTGAAGTGAACCGTGTTAGGAAGATTTTACCATTAATGCCGAAGAAAACACAGGTGTTTCATGCTGTACTTCATAACCATAAATTATTAAAATGCTAAATATAATATTTTTCACGTATTTTGGATAAATTATTGAAAAATAACAGGAAAAAAAGTATGAAAAATATATTTAAGCGTCAACGGGTTAACGTAAGTTTCGATTTTATAACTGATTTAAATATTATTATTGGTTACTGACGGAGATTAAAACTAAAATTACATTGCTTCATTATTTAGAGAAATATAATTAACAGATCTATCTTAAAGACACAGAAAATCTTTATATATTTTTGCTTAATTTGTTGCAGTATAAAATTTTAATAATTTGTTTTTATTCTTATTCCTTTAAAAACTTTTTTAAAATAATTTTGCAGAAGTGTATGGAGGTTTACCGGATATGAAGACATACAGTATTTTCAATCAATTGCATGCTCTTCTGGAGAAACGTTTCCATTACACCAAAAGACACTGGAGTATCCTAATTACTCAAGTGGCGTTACCTTTCCTACTGGTTTTCCTCTGCCTCTTAGCTATACGAGGGGTACAAGGTGAGCTGAGAGAAAACTTCGATCCAATCAAACTGGATATTAGCAGCGTTTATGGTTCCACTGATGGTTTCTATTATTCAACAACAGAGCAAAAACTAACAAACGAAGTCATTAATGTGATGAGAGAAAATAACGTAAATTCTGCTAACGTAAAAAATCCTACTCATTTTGTACTCGATTACGGAAAAAACAGTTTAACTGACTATTTTAAAAAACTCATGGTTGGAATAAGCGTTGACAAGTTCACCAATGGAACAGTCAATTTAACAGCTTGGTACAACGGTGAACCATACCATAGTTTACCTATGTCACTGCTATTGGCTCACGATTCTGTTCTGAAGTATGTAAGTTCTGATAAAGCTTCAATTTCTTTAGTCAATGCGCCGTTGCCAAGATATCATCAACAATATAATTCTAGAGATATTGGTGTTGAGGGGCAAATTGCTGGTGTTTTTATACCATTGGCGTTAGGTTTTATCGCCGCAACAGTTGTGTTACTGCCCATCCACGAACGAACTTCAAAATCGCAGCTGCTGCAAATGATGACTGGAGTTTCTCACATAACCTATTGGTTTGCCATGTTTTTATGGGACTTTTTGTTATTTTTTACTGTGTCTATTATCCTGATTATACCATTTGCTATATTCTACGGCTATGTATTTTTTGGAGCTCACGCTGACGCTATTGGCAAGTATAAGTTTAAATAAGATTATTTCTTATTTTCTTAAATTCAGGTAATTTAAGGGGTCTTAAACAGGATAATATTTAAAAAAAATTATAAGCTTCACATTATTTATAAAATAATTCAAATCCCCCCACAAATTTATGTTTCTATTTTAAATAATATGCTGGATAAGACTTAGTTTTGTTTTTTACTCATATTAAACTGCAGTTTATGCTTTGACTTGGAAGGTTTTTACCACATGTTAATTTTTTTTCACGTCATGGTAAAAATAATCACGGAGAAAAGATCAGGAAAAATGGTACTGGAAATTATCAATACTGCAACTCAATATAATAGAGATCAATGCTTAAACTTTTAAGATTTTTTTCTTCTTTGTCATTTTTTCATGTGCTTACAAATTTTAAAACGATCTATCTCAAAATCCAATATTTTGAACTTGAAGAATAAATTTTTAAGCACATTAAGAGCTAGAAACATTACTTTTTAATTTTTTTTATCATTTTATTGAAAGTTTGTGGATTTTTTATTGTAACTTATTGTATTATATATGAGATCGAAATATTCGGAACTTAGCAAGCATTTTTTCAACAAAAAAAAGCATTGAAATAATGTGGCCCTAATGCATAATAATTTCAACAAACAATTCTGTTATCAACTAATATTAGATATAGATAGCATCACACATAAAGTAACTTCTCTTCTTCTCTTTAATTAATATTGTTACATGTTTTTATCAATTCCTTTGTTTAAATCTGTAACAATGAAATTTTGCTATCAAAATAAAAACATGAAAGTAAAGTAATGAGAAATGAATTAACACATTTATTAAAATCTCATATTTCGCTGTGAACCAATTATCTTTTTAATATTTTGTTTATTGAAGTTGAAAAAATTTAAAAAAGTATTTTAATTTATGCACAAATATATAAATACCCTTTCCTCAAATATGAATATTTTTCCTCAAAATATACAATTTCACAAAATATGAAAACCTTCTCTCCAGGCATCATTCTTATTCATTTTAAAATTTCTTTGCCAAATTATATATTGTTTCAAACTGCTTTTGAACATTCAGCTACGCTATAGAAATTTTCAAATCAAATTACAGTAAGAAATGCTGATACCATGCTGGGACTTTGTACCGTAGAATCCATTTTCATCTTAAAAGTTTAAGCAAGAAGAAAAATCTGATTCATCGTTCTTTAATATTTACCGTAAAATAAATATAATTATCTAAATATCACTGTAAAAATTAAGTTATAAAATATTACGGTAGGTGGTTGGTTGGTTTCGTATGCCTGTTTAGGCAGAGCTGTGCGATTGGTCTTGTTTTCCAGTGGCGCCATCTATGGCCAAGAATTCGACTTCTGCCACACCCATTCGTCGTACCCGTTTATAGGGTGGACCCATTCATACATCCATTCATTCATCCACAGATCGTAATTTTGACCTGAATCAGAGAACGATGTATATGTATATTATATGAATATTACGGTAAAAATTAGTTTTATTGTAAAATGGATTTTTCACATGCTGCAGTCAGGGTGCCAGTACTTTTCTCAGAAATTTTTAGAGAGAGCGTTCTTGGTTAAACTCTTGTGAGCGCTACCATAGCTTTGTCATATCAATGTACAGCTTAATAGAACACGTGGAACCCTTAGAGAGCTTTGGTACTTCCACGTACTAATATTCTGCATAGCTACTATGCAACATTTCGGATAAATTGTAATCGATAAACAAAAACTCTACATTGCTTGTGAAAGAGTAAGACGCAACGTGAAAATGCTGAATCCCTCCATTGTTTCTTGTAACTTAACCTTAGAAACGTTGAATTTAGTATTAGGCAATTTGACTACTTATTTTTTCTATTTCTATTGTTTAATAAAGCATAGTTCATCGCTTCAGCCTTTTTTATTCTGTAAGATTTCATAAATAATTTAACTTTTTTAGGTACTACTCTCCTGATGTTTTGGCTGTATGGGTTATCCTCCATACCCTTAAGTTACTTGATATCGTTCATATTCAGCAAAGGAAATACTGGATTCTCTGTTATAATTGCCATGAGTGTAATTATTGGTAAATATACTACTAAAAATTTTAGGTTAAATTTTGTTTTGCTACAATCTTAACCCTCTCGTAACGTATCCCGCCATTTCCACGCAACTTAGAAGTAACCAAATTTGTGAAAATCGCGATTTCCTTAGTCATGCCATTTTTTCCGTTTATTTAACTGTTTAGTAAGTGTTTTGCATATTTTATATACATTTTACTTTTGTATTTCATGAAATAAATCATAGTTTAACCCAGGTAAATTTTTACAATTTTGTTTTTAAATTATTATTCTTCAAATTAAATTTTCCGACTGTTTTTTATGATCTAATTTCATATTGATAAAAAAAATTGCGGAGAAATTTGCATATTTTAAATGTAAAATATACAAAAAATATGTAGAATTGAAAGTAGGTAAATTTGAAATATGGGATAAAAAATATTCAATTTTTGAACCTATTTTACTAAAAAAATTATTCGTCGAGAGTGTTAACACAGACGTAAATTGAACAATATTAATTAGGCAAATTAATTCTTTTGATAATAATTTACGCGACACTAAGGCACAATTTGAACGAAAACTTCGTTCAATTTAACATTTTATTAAAGTTGAAACAAATTTGCGTGGTATAGTTCGTTTTAAGTTCATTGTAATCCATCGACAAACTGTTTCTTTTTTTATTTCAATGTAATGTCTACAGATAAATAACTATCAACTGCTGTTAGAATATTTATAGACATCAAATACGTTTATATTCCTTAAAAAAGGAAAAATTTAATTTGTTGGAGGAATTATTTAAAAGTTATTTTGAAGGTACTATAAATATTTTTTTCTGTTTCCAAATAATGAAAAGAATTGAATTTGCATAAACTCTTTGAAGCTTAGAAAAATAGACCCTTTAATCATAGAGCTTTATAAATCGAAATAACTTAATTCAATAGCAGTTTTAAATATATTAAATGCAATGTTCCTTCCAATTACTTATGTTCCTCGATTTAAAAAGACCTGTATGTTTCTGAGTGTAGAAAGGACATTGTATTGATTTATTGTTATAAATAAATATTTCATTAAGTAAAAAGACATTTCCTTCGTTATTTCAATATTTACTCATGTACTCAGTTTTATACGGCCAGTTTGAATAAAACTTATTGCTAACATACTTCTTTAAGAATATTAATGTAGCCTCCAAAACATGTTTTTTAATTGAATATTTAGTTTTAAAAATAAAAGGCAAAATTTTCATTAAAATACAAATTTAAGTAGTTTTACAAGAAGAGAAAACCATAGTGCGCGATTTTGTCTCACTTTCGACAAATATGATTCCTTTTTTTTAATCAAGCTGAAACTTTAGAATATTTTTATAATGTAACATTCATTTCAACACATATAATTTTATTTCTCAACTGTTTAGTTCTCATGAAGAACTGCATCTAATCCCGATGTTGGGAGGCCAGAGACCTTTTGTTCAATTTAAATTCTTGATTTAATTTTTGTGTTAGATGTTTTGCTTTTGTTTTTGTATTTTGTATATTTCATCTCTTTCTGTATTTGTATTTTTCTTTTCTTTTGATCTCTGTACGACGTTAGGATAATGTCTCTATCACCTGCTGCATATCACCTGCTGTGCCATAATTTTATTATACTTTAATTTCATTTGAACGCAAGTAATTTTTTACTTAAAAAAATAATATTTAATTTTTAGGCACAGCCATGTCAACGATTTTAGCAATAGTTTATTATTCCGTTGATACTCCTTCAAGGCCTATTGTGGAAGGATTCATGTGGTTTTTCCGAATTTTCCCCTCATATTCAGTAGCATCTGGATCCATAAATTTGTTCACACTTGCTTTTAGAAATGCGTATTGCGATGGCATATCAGAAGAAGACTTGGCGTATAACTGCAAGGAAGAATATTTAGAGGCGTATAGTGCCTTATACAAGTGCTGTAAAGGTAAGAAGGTACCGGGGATATATATATATATAATGAGCATTCAAATGAAAACCGGTCACTAGTGTAAAGTAACGGTAACGATTTTGATAACTCGCAAATGTAGTTATACACAGTACACATACTCATAAACAGTCGTAAAAACTGTTGGCACATTTATCCCATTGCGACACTAGCCGGTCTATTCCATCTTTGAAGAAGCTAGTCGGCTGCTGTCGGATCCAGGCCTGAACCAAGTCACACATGTCGTCGTCCTTTATGAATCGATGTCCACGAATAGCTTGTTTTAGAGGTCAAAACACATGAAAGTCACACGATGAAAGGTCTGGACTGTACGATGGATGTTCCAGCGTTTCCCACCAAAACTCGTTGTTCCTGCTTTCTTGCCTTCATGTTCCATGGAGGACGATAACTTGTGTGACCACCTTCTCGTCGGTGTGCAACCACAATGTCGCTATGCAACGTCAAACGTTGCGCATGCGTCCGGTGTCGCCATACACGCAGTTGCGTAGAACACGATTACGCCTAATGCAAAGTTAAACGAACTGACCAGGTCTTATTTGAATGACCCTCATTACTCAAAATGGTGATCATACAGAAATCATTGTTTTTCGTTTTTTTTTTTACTTAAAAACATTATTCATGGGCTTAGTATTTAAATTTGAAACTTATTAAGAACAAATAAAGTAGTTGACGAATCAAAACGCATATATTTTGGTTTGCTTCCTACTATTTGAATTGTTTTTTTTTTTTTTCATTTCTACTTAAATTTCTAAGTTAAAAAATTAAATGTAATTGTAACGTAATGTACTAAAAAGTTGTTTCTAAGCCAACTTCTTATATCTTAAAAGTTTTAAAGTGGTATTTTGAAACAAAAGTGCAAGTTCAAAACGGAAATTTTAAACATCCTAATTAAAAAATTTAACCGTAGTTTTTAAAAATGCTTTAGATTATGTGCTTGAGTGGCTTGTTAGTTATGACTAATTTTGCTTCCATCATGCCGAGGAATTTGTAATGATTTTAAACTTTAAGCTGTATTGTAAAATACTTTTAAACTACAAAGAAGGAAAGAAGCACTTCATTTGCGCTTCGTTTCTCAAATCCAATAAATGCTCGCAATTTTTTTTTTTTTGGCAAAGTGCAGAAATTATACATCAAAAAATAAGAACCAAAACTAGGCACATAGCTTATGAGAGTAGCAAATAGTTGCTATTAAATAGGCATTTGTATTCGATATCTACATATACAATTAAAAAAAATTAAAACATTAAGTAACGCTTCTGACAAAATCTATCCTCAATAGTAAATGAAACTAGAAATAGTCTTGTTGCTGTTAGAAAAATAAGGAAATTTTTATAGTTTTTAAAGTTCTTGGAGAGACTGGTTAATTTTCCTTAAATCGCCTCCAAAGATTAGTTTATCGAAATGTCGATTTGGATTTAAGCTTTTCAAAGGTTTGTGAAAGGTATGAAAATTATACAGCCTAGAGTATGGAACTGATTTCTTTATTTTGTGAAAGCACTAGCAATGTGGCATTGTTTTTCTAAAATACTCTACTTTTTTTCAGATTTCTGTGGCCAGTATTGCCTAAATCAAACAACAATAATGCAATGGGACAAGATTGGTTGTGGTCGAGACCTATTTTTCTTGTTCATCGATTTCATCTTATATACTGCTATACTGTTACTTTTACAGTCTAGTTTATTTCAAAGAATTTGGCGCCAAGTACGAAATGAATTTAGCCGATTAGCGAAAAGACCCATTATTGGCCCGACTACTCCATCAGTAATCTCTGAAGATAATGATGTAATTTCAGAAGAGCATCGCGTTCATAACATACAAGGCATTAGAGACAATGGGGAAGAAGCTCTGATTATAAAGGATCTTTCAAAAATATTTAAAAACTTTTTCGCCGTGGAACGATTGAGTGTTGGAATTCATCAAGAGGAATGTTTTGGATTACTTGGTGTTAATGGTGCAGGAAAAACAACCACATTCAGGATGTTGACTGGTGATTGTCATCCGAGCAATGGGAATGCTTTTACTGTACTTTCTTCTTTAATGTCGAACACTAAACGAGTAAGTTAAGTTTCTGTTTTAGATATTGTTTATGAATAAACTGAGCTTACCTAGAAGCATCTGTAGTGTGAGATAATGCCGAGTTGGTACTATGTATGGTTAAAAGAATAAAAACGATGTAGGAAAACAAATATACCATAAAAAATACTTTCAAAAGTTACCAAAAGTTTTGAAGGTCAATTCACAACCACTGTTATATGTAAGACAAATAGTATCTTTCAGTATTAATATTTGTCATATTTCTCTCCAAGGCAATTTTAACTTCATCAATTCACTGATAATTGTTTTTTCATCCAATAGTCTTTTTTGTGTCCGTAAACGTTTTCCATTTTTATGAAAGATGATTGCCTGTTTAATTTTTTAAATTAGTTTTTTGCCACCAGCCTCATATTTCCTCTATTAACGATTATTTTTTTCAATATTTGCTTTTTTATATCAATTTTAGTTTCCTCACCAGATTTGGTGTCATTTAACACTATGTATGCCTCTAAATGTTCCTAGTTTAATTAAAAATTCCTTGTTTATTAAAAAGAAAATACAGGGTTATTTATAATCCCCTCCGGGGTTTCGAAGTAAAACGAAGTTCGGGGTAAAACGAAGACGAATAAGACAAAAAAGAACCTATGAAATTATTTCAAAAGTGTTCAAGCTTTAATTTAAGTATTTGCCGGTAGATGGCAGTAACATGTACCACTGAAGCCAGTTGTAGTAAAGAAAAATGGCGTTTACAGGCGGGGGGAATTATGAATAACCCTGTATAGATAGCAGTAATATCCTAATAATGCTTTAATTATTGCAAAATATTACAATATATTATTATGAATTGGAATTATCAGATTATAAAGTAATAATACTTTTAAACGTAACTTTGGATTAAACTGACAGTTAACTTTGAATGCAGGCATTCTGCAATCACTTTTTTGCAGTGTATAGAATATCTAACAAATAATTTGGTCAGTTTACATATTTAAGTGGTTGTTTCGAACACATGACAAGCTCGAGCGAAGTAGCTTAGGGTAAAATTGTTTTCTTATATGCGCAATTAGTGCAAATTGCTTTGACAAACAAATTGCTCCATTGTCTTTAAAATCGTCACTGTTAATTATGATTAATTTATTTAAAACATTTTAAGTTTCAGTAATTAAAAGTTTTATCAGCTGCGTGTTAGAGAAGTAATTGTCTGAAATTCTAACTTTTGACATGATGATATTTGTTTTGAAAATGTAGTTTGGAGGTGTTTCAGTAGGAATGCAAAAAAGAAAGAAAGCTCTAAGGACAAAAAATTAATATCCTAAACCAAAATATCCAAACTAAAATAAATTTATTCAGATATAAGTTATTTTTTATAGTCTTATTTGAATAATCCGTTTTTTTTTTAATATTTTGTATGTATATTTTTTTACATTTTCAATAGTTTTCTGTACGTTGTTTAGTTGTATTCTCCAAGAAAACTAGTTTTTTGCCAATTTTTTAAGAAAAAAATCTAATTCCATTAATCATGACCATTAAGCTCTTTTTTCTAATGTATATTATTTATACGCTTTTATGGTTGAAAATTTCTACTATCTATTTCCGATAGGTAGATTCTGAGAGTCTATTGTAGAGTACTTAAAAAAATAACATTTAATTTTTAGGCACAGCCATGTCAACGATTTTAGCAATAGTTTATTATTCCGTTGATACTCCTTCAAGGCCTATTGTGGAAGGATTCATGTGGTTTTTCCGAATTTTCCCCTCATATTCAGTAGCATCTGGATCCATAAATTTGTTCACACTTGCTTTTAGAAATGCGTATTGCGATGGCATATCAGAAGAAGACTTGGCGTATAACTGCAAGGAAGAATATTTAGAGACGTATAGTGCCTTATACAAGTGCTGTAAAGGTAAGAAGGTACCGAATATATATATAATGAGCATTCAAATGAAAACCGGTCACTAGTGTAAAGTAACGGTAACGATTTTGATAACTCGCAAATGTAGTTATACACAGTACACATACTCATAAACAGTCGTAAAAACTGTTGGCACATTTATCCCATTGCGACACTAGCCGGTCTATTCCATCTTTGAAGAAGCTAGTCGNACTGATTTAACTGATCATGCTGATAAGCAGAGTAGATTTTACAGGTATGTCAATATTTTACATTACAAATAGAATAAGCCTTTTCAGATCCATGTAAATGAAACCGTGTTTTCTTCGAGAATTAAGAAAAAGACTTCGTAATTTAGCCCAGAGGTGTGGTTTCACCATTAATTAAAATAAAGGAAACTTTTTATGTTTCATCCCAGAGGATACCTTTCGCTTCACCCTTTTTAAATTCCAGGACCTTTTCTTTGCCGTCTCGCTGTTAATAGTGGGATTTAATGCTTAAATAGTGAAAGTTGTAATAATTTGCCTATGACCAAACTCAAAAACCAGGCCATCAATCACAATTGTCTTTATGGATTACCTAAGGGGAGTAGACGCACAGAGAAGGATTGTCGAGGATTGTTTTTATTATTATTATTATTTTTTTTTTAATTTCTAATGAGCTGTACAATCGGTCTTGCCGATGAGCAGACCTAGTGCGTTCTCCAGAGGTGGTATCCACTCTTTCAGGACCACCACAATGGGTGAGATACCGTTGGTCCTGTTAATTTGGACGTCTAGTTTCTGCCACTACACTAGATGGCAGCACCGAGACTCTATTTGGATGCTAAAGTGCACTAGGAATTTAATTTCGCCGAAAATGCCAAGAGCCAATAAGGCACTCCAGGGATCTTTTACATGCCGCATAATCATACGACATGGCTGCTGAGGATTTTCTTCATCCCGAAAATCCGGTGTTTGGAGCCGGGGATAGTTAAAAAAAAGTTGTTTGTATAGTTAAAAAAATCCAGACAATGTGGATACTTTAACTAGACATTGTTTTTAAAAAATTTTCACACCAGAAAAGCAATTTCTAGTAACACTTATCAATCAGGTGTTACTTCTGAAATATTTAATCTTTCATTATTGTTACTAAGTTTTTGCATTTTCAGGAGCTTGAATATAATTTTCTACATTGCATTGCACAATAAAAAATACACTACAGTGGTTTATAACTTTTATGCAAAACTGAATATTTTATATTATTTCACAATTTTATTATGGTTTATAAAGTTCCCTTTAAGGAAACTGAGGAATGATTCAAGTAGAACAACGAAAAATAGAAGCGACCCCTATTGATTTTATGGATGAATATATAAAAGTAGATTTAGTAAACTTTTCTATTTTTTAATGTAACAAATATTGCAAAATTTGAAATAATTATTTTATATAATTTTCTACTAACTATATACGTGGTATTGCATGCCTCATAGTGTTCACACATTTTTTATTCGCGGAGCTGATGCTACTACATTATCGAAAATATCGTTCTGGAAAATATTCTAAATTACGTAAGATAGAAAATTTAGTTAAATGATTTTTACTTAGTAGTGATCCGCTTATTTGCAATATTTAAAAAAATAATTCTTTTAAAAAATGTTTAAGGAACTCGATTTTGCGATAAAATGTTATAAAATCTTATTTAAAACAAAAAAACTATTTGAAATCATTTAAATAGATATTATAGTGTTAGCACATATTTTGTATAAAAGGAAATAAGTTATATAGAGCATTATAATAAATATGATAATTGATATTAAAATTATAGTTTTCTTAAATACTAGTTTGTAAGAACGCCTAGTTTATTTTTAAAAATTTATTTATTTTTCTTTTCTTCGTTTTTTTCTTTATTTTTCAATTTGTTTCTTTTTTCCTTCGCTTTTTTTTGTTAGTCACTAAAATGCCATAATGAATTTTGAATACTGTTTGCATGATAATAATATACAAAATCAAATCTACAGAAAAAAAAACTTTTTTAAAGTAATATCAAATGGTAAATTTGGCAATTTTTTGTTATTAAAACACAGTCATTTGAAATATTAAAAAAATTCTAAATTCATATTTTTAATCAATGTCCTCGAAAACCTTATATTGATAGTTTTAAGAAAATGTAATTGAGTATGAAGTTTTAGCCATTTTGTTTCTTCTGAAATACGACCACTGTGCAGTTCTTTGTCGTTTAACTAGCAGGATTGTCATCAGTGTAGCCCCACCGCCTAGAGGGGACATTAAAATCTTCAATCAAAATGGTTTTTCATCAATTAGAAGATTAAAGAGAGCTGATTTTATGATAGAGGGATGCATAAAGAATAGATTCTGAAGAAATAACCCACCTTTCATACTTAAAATTCGACAGTTTTACACTTATCATCAACGTTGTCCATTTGTTTAAAGGTGTAAAATTGAGATAAAAGATTATTTTTTATGTTTGTTAAAATTCACGGGTGATTTGTCCAAACTTTGGCAATAAATATAGTTGATAACCAAAGAATGGGACGAGTTTTCTCCTGTAAATTTGTTTCCTGTCATGAAGTAAACTAAATCTAATGTTCCCTTAAAGATTGTGGCAAATCAAACCTTCTAAGCAGGGTGAAGTCAGTTGATTTTCAATGCAGCAATAAGCTGATTGAAAATCTCTGAAGGGGAAAAAACTGATGAAGTTGGAGTTATAGATCTCTTAGCCGTCGAAACGTTTCCGGGGTACACCACGAGGAGGTGGATCTATAATCGTACCCCTTGTTTTTTTTTTTTTTTAATACGGAGTGAAATTATTTTTTTATTGTACTAATACCAATTATGCACTTTTCTTATAATTTAAGTTCTTTTTTTTTTTGCAAAAATATCTATTTAACTATTGCTCTTTGTGGCTGGCATGAAAAATAGCTTATTTTTGCTTCTAAGTGCAAAATAGTTTTTTCTTTTTTTTTCAACTCTGTAAAACAATTCCTTCTTTTTTCAAGTTGCTCTTTACCATCCTTTCAGCAAAATCATATCTATCAAATCAGGAAATTGCTTTCATTGACATAACTGTTTTTTAAGTACCGAACTGTTTTTTTTCCTGCAATACATTTTTCTTCTTTGTCATTCAAGTATCACAATCTTTTCCATCCCTTCAGCTTTTTTTTTTTTTTTTTTTTTTTTTTTTTTTTTTTTTTTTTTTTTTTTTTTTTTTTTTTTTTTTTTTNCCTATTTCCTACTGCAGCATGAACAAAATAGGTTTTTCAAAGATGACCAAAACCCTTTCTTTTTTATTTTGTTATCTGCAGTGCAGTCTCCTCCTTCACCATTCAAAATGGTCTCACACTCTTTCATATCCTCTCTATAAAAATAAATAATTTCTTATAATTGAAGTAATATCTGTACCAAGTTATTTTGATAAACAACTAAATCATATGAGAGTACAAATAATGATATTTTTGAAGTCAACAAATTTTGTGTCCTAAGGTGAACAACGTGAAGTTTCTATGTATTAAAATAAACCTTTATAATTTGTAATATGAATAAAAATTTGTGAATTTAAAAATATTAAATATAGTGCTTTTTTGATGTAATAGTTGAGTATACTAGTATTAAAGTAGGATTCTTCATCAATGAATTTTATTAAAGAGAAATAAAATATTTGAATGTTCCAAACGCATACAGGGAATAGTTATTCCAATTTATTTCAAAAATAGTAGATTTTTTATTAGGACATGGAAGAAGGTAAATCCGTTGTAATTTTAAACTTTAATTTAGCAAAAGAGTGTTTCACAATTCATGAAAAATCTTAAATCTAATTTATGTAAATTATTTTTTAAAACTTAATTTTTTAAAAAAAAGCTTACTGTTGGTTTCAAATATTTGCTATCAACTTATGGAACTTAAATGTTCATTGTTTTATATATTTTTTACGTTTTCTTGCAAAAAGGAACGTAAATTTAGAAAATGATTTTATTCATCGTAATCTCATTGTAACATTCTCATCGTAGGAGAATTGATAAATTTAAATTATGTTATTCCTTTCATGGATTACATGCCGCATGCATAATATCACTATTATAGTTGCATTTAATTCAGTTGCAAAAGTTATCAATTATTATTGAACAATTTATACTTAAGCTCAAGTTTAATTCAGTTTTAGATTAATTTTACGAAAAAAGGCTTTAATTCCATTAAGTGGAATTATTTAGTTCTTAAATTAATATATAAACAATTAAACAAGTACTAATTTTTAAATTAAAGTACTTAGTATAAAGTACATAGTACTTAATATTAAGTTAATTAATTTAAAGTACTAATTTTTTTATTAAAAAAATATTTTATTATCTATTTTAAACATAAAAATTCGTTTTCTAAGTATGAACGAGAGTGCTATGAGTATTAACAGGAAAATAATTCAAAACTGCATGTTATAACTTATAATTATTTATAATTTTTAAAAGTATTGGTATATTTCATAATTAAACGATATTTTTTTGGCACATTTAAAGCAAAAATAAGCCCTTTTTTTAACATTGGCTATGAATTTAAGAAAGCACTATGTCGCTGTTGGAGTTTTGAAATCATAATTCTTTTTATTCAGCTACTTAAATTTTTAATGTTTTTTTTTATATTTATTTTTTGAAACTTATATTTTACAGCTGCGGAAAACAGCCAAATTTGGTAATTTTTTATTCAAGCGTTATTCACAGGCCATGGATAGATGATTGGTAATTTACTTCGTAGTTTACCTGCAGGACATACATTGTTCAAATTTTCAAGGATGTTGTTAAAAAAGTTTAAAAAAAAGAGTAAATATTAAAAGCGCTCTGCTTAATCAAAAACACTTGAAATAGCAATAAAAAAGATAAAAAATTAAGATTGCTTAAATAACTCAAATACAGATTACCGTACCTTTTATTTTGAAAATCCTCAATACTTTGTTTCTCATCAGAAACATATTGAACTATTCCAGGTTCCCCAGAACCTCCAACATCATATGTCACTCTAAAATTATAAAGAAACATAATGGATTTCAATATAATTTTCTATGCATAAATTTTAGAAATGTAATAAATTTTCATTATTTTTTAATTATAAAGTGCTTAGTAATTTTGAAACCAAAGAGTTAACTTTAAACGTATTCTAAAATTCAACAATGAGTTTTTTTTTCATGGAATAATATTTTAGTTTTAATATACCAGTTGGAAAGTTTCAATATGTGTGTGAGTAATTAGCGCAAGTATATATAAGTTTTGCT